CTTTATACAGTAATAATATATTATTTAGAAAAAGCAAAAAAAAAATCATTGAATTTTATAGTATTATCCAGGAAGTAAAACAATGAAAAGCTTTCTATTTAATTTGAATGAATTTGTTAAAAATTATACGACATTATCATCAAATGAATATCAAACTTATATTAATTCAACATCAGTAATGAATTTAGATTAAGCCAAAAAAAAATAAAATAAAGTTGATCTTTTTCTAGATTATCAAATTACCTCAATTAAAATTTGATCATTGTAATGGATCAGATTCAAGTAAACGTGGTTATCCATGTACATTATGGGTCTTATTTCATAGTATGACTGTTAAACAAGCTATACTAGCTGAACAAAATGCATGTAAGTTCTATAGATAGAGTAATTATATAACTTTAAACTAAATGATATGATGTACCGAGTATTCAGAAAGAAAATATTAAATAAACTGCAATAAAACCACAAGACAAGAAACAGTGTGTCTTCACTACATGCAAACTATTTAAGAATAATCTATTTCATTTTGTTTACAAAAAAAATTCTATGTATTTTAGTACCATCAGATATCAAACCATCTGATGTTATTGTATCAATTCGAGAATTTATTGGTAACTTTTTTCTTTGTGAAGAATGTGTTACACATTTTGTTAATATGACAATTAATGCTGAAAATGAAATAAAGTCTCATCGTGAAAGTATTCTTTATCTTTGGCGAAGTAAACTGAAAAAATGATATATATTCTACGTTTTTTTTATCAATTTCTTGTTTAGGTCATAATATTGTGAATAAACGACTTCGATATGAAGAATATACCAATGATCCGAATTGGCCAAAAGTACCATTTCCTACAAAAGAACAATGTAATCTTTGTGTTCAACAAATAGATGAGAATGGTGATGCTACAGAATATAATGAAAATGAAACGTATAAATTTTTAAAAGAATTTTATTCATTAAATAATTCAATGAGAATTCAAACATATAACCTTATTTTATTATTTTCAATTGTCATTCTTAATATATTAATATCAAATAAATAATATAAACTCAATTATGTCTATATTCGAGATGATTGATATATACTTTATCAGTTGAATATATAACAAGCTGTTGTTGAAAAAAGTCAATATGATATTTCATCCGTGGTCTATATAATAAAAATATAAGCCCTATTAGTCAAAGAACGATTCTAAACAAATTATTGTTATACTAGTATGAAATTTCAATCTCAGTTCTATATGATCGATTTCGTTATGAAATATGATGCGTTTCATAATATTAATAATCAATATATGAAAAAA